TTCTAAGTTTTATTTCTTAGACACTTGGCTCTTATTTAAAAAAAAGAATATTGTCGTATCTTCATTTAACTTAGTTATTAAAATTAAAAGATATAACGATTTTGATATGTACTACATTTTCAGTAATGTATATTTTCTTTCGGTGCGAAGTGGGACAAGTGCCTGTTTATGATGTGTATTGTTCTGCAAATGAAACAAATTTATATAATAAGCAACGCAGATGAAGTCGTGGTATCAGCCAGTCATTAATATTATGTAATGTTTCTTGTTTAATAATAATATTGTCTTCAGCATGTTGATATCATGGTGAAAAGATTAATATATAGGTGTGTAGATTCTCTATTCTGATTTGGACGTTAACGATGGTTTCACTTTTTTAGCCTTTAGTTCATTACAGATTTGATTTAGATACAGACGATAGTTCGAATCATATGAAGAATATAAATCAAATTCAAGTGAGACTAGCGGATAGGAACAATGCTCATAGCATTACGCGCATTTGAAGTAAGGTTCGGCAACTTTGGTATTTCAAAATTTTTATTATTACGGACAAGTTTGATTATTCTATTAGATGGTTAGTTGTAATGATGTCGTCTTTAGTTTCATATTGCAATTTGATGAATACTGAATTCAATAAAACAGTTCATTGGTACCAAAAACTAAGTCTAATCAGGTCGGCTTCTTTTCAGAATTCATCACACACACACATTCAGAACACATCATCAGACAGTTGAAGCCTTTAATATCATTATTGTCGCATTGATATCAGTTAGGAAAGGAAATAGGAACCAGGATGCTTTTGTTTTAGCCTAAATAAGAGGAAACAAATATGATCTAACTTCGCTACACATATTTGTACAATTATGATCTTGCAATAAAAGTGAGTAATGTTTGTAAAACATATTTCAAAGACTAGAAGTCTTAACTATAAATGATCACTTCTAAAACAATGGTATTGTTGTCACGGTCGACAATTACCATTAAGTGTTTGTAAGAAAAAAGTATAAGTATGCAACATGCATTCAGTACATTCAATGTCATTCATATTCGTTCAGTGCGAGTCCAAAATCGTTCATTCGGTGCACCTACTGTCGTACATTAAATTCATTTACTGTCGTACATTCTACGCGTTCAGTGCAATCGAGTTCAAAAAAGGAAAAAACGAACTCACCGTAGTGACGTTCCGAATTCAAAAAATCGCCGCGGCGCGATTCATCAGCTGTCACGTATCGACACCGGGTTGACTGTTCGCTCGCTAAAAATAGCAATCTCAATAAAAAGACGGGGGCTCGAACTATCCATTACTCTCGGGGCGGCGGGGTGCGTCTGTACGGCGATCATTGCGCGCTTTATCGACCCTAAACGCCCTTTATTCTCTAGGCATCTGCGACGCGCGATTAATCAGGCAAAACAGCGTGTTTCGCATAATCGTTGTTTAAATATTGTTTTTTTATTCGAGTTCTATTTGTCATTGTTTTGAGTTCTTATAAACTCCTTAGCTTTCTAAACTTCTAATATCGGTTCTACAATTAAGTCATTTTTTTAAATTAATTTAGGCTTTAAAGAACTTCGTATACGGTTTGCAAATTAGAAAATGTACAGATCTTGTATTTGCGGGAAGGCCATGATTTTGAGTACAGTTAAAAAAATCGATGGATCCGCAGTGGGGTCGGTTGGTGGACTATGTCCTGACAGAGACAGAGGCCTTAGAATATTTTTTTTAAATATAAAAATTTGTACTGTACTTTCCTTATCTTTTGTGTTCCATTATTAATTATTTATTAACGTTTTGAAAGAATCACTAAGGTAATGGTGTTGGTGTCATAATTTTAATCATAGTGTTATCGTTGCTTAAGTTTATATTTTTTATTTAGAAACTGTTTATTTATCCTAAAAAACTTACTCATTTTAAACTTTTAGTTCGATATTTTAGGTTATATCGTTTCGACTCAGGAACCATGGCTTTACAAAAGATTGATGTGAAAAGAAATCTTCACGCTTTTGCATTTTTTATAGTAAGTATAGTAATAGTACAGTAGGTATTTTAATATTAAGAGATAGTGTATACGTATAGTTGTCGATAGGCCTTTTAGAAAAAAATAAAAAAAAACAACCTGAACTCGATCCCCGGAGCCAGCACCAATGAAATTGTTAATTTTAAGTCCTTATCAAGTGTTCAGTGGCGAAGGAAAACATTTGGGAAAAATGCATGTTCTCCAAACAATACCAAAAAAATATTTCGAAGATATGTGAAGTTCGCCAATACGCAGTGGGGCCGCGCTCTGTAATGAGGAGACCTTTGCCCAGCAGTGCGACATATATAAGCTCTTGCATAAAAAAAAAACAAAAAAAAAGATTGAGAACCTTTTTTAAATTGGTTAAAAAAAGTTTAAAAAAAAGATTGGTATAAAGGTATAATTGATTATAACTCATTTGTAAATACAGAGCATGGGTTATTATCACTCATTCTCACCCTTTTAAATTATTTTATATTTTAATATTTTATAGTACAGTTTTTTTACTTAACTTTCTTTTATGCATTTTTTGCTTTGAGTGAGGTTGCAGAGGCCATGTTTTCCATTCAAGAATAACAAGCAAAATAGACTAGAAGTATAACAAAGAATATGGCAATTCCAAGGAAAGTATGCCTTTGCTAAATCTCTCAAAAGTTGAAGATGGAAATTGTTAACATGATTACAATAATAAAAAACAAAACATTGAAATTACATGAGCATCATGAACTGTTGTGATCGAATCTTGGCGTTAATATATCGTCAATTTCAATACCACGTGCTTATCGCGTCGAAAGTGGACATCGTGGGAAAACCTCCATGTGTGTATGGAAGACTGATCTGACAAAGTGAAGGCAGAGCAAGTTTTGTTGCGTTAGACGTGACCCGTTGTGAGTTGCGACTTTTATAATTTGCAAAAACTCTTAATTAAATACGGGAACACGAGTAATCATTACATCATTGCGATAAAAAAAATATTGATGTTATGTTGAAACTTTCTTAGACGAACATTCGCTTAAACCAAAAATATAGTTTAAATTATTACGAAAATTTAAAGTTAGTCGCGGTGAAGATAATCGTAACACGAAGAATTAATGATGAAAACGTATATGTTATACGTTAAAAAAAAATATGATTTTAGTATTTACACTCCTTTATTATTTTTATATCACAATATTCCATTTAAGTTGTAAATGTGTTTATATTCATTAACCAAAAATATAGTAATACAGTATTCTTGTGTAGGTACGTGACAGTATTTATACCAACGATGCAGTAGATATTTAGATAATTTACAATGGAATATTGTTTGCTTTACTTCTAAATCTAAAATAAATAAAGGAACACAAGAATAAAAAAAATATTTATTACTGTTAAAAAAATTATACATATAATGCACATTTATTTTAATGTTTAATAAACATTATTTAGTTTATGTCAGTTTTTATTTAAATTCTTAGAATAATAAACTTTTGAACAGTTACAAATATATTTTTATACATTATTTGTTTAATCAATTTCAATAACTCACAAAAAGGTTCTATTTAATTAATAACTGACATTTTAACCTATAAGTTAACTTTTATAAGTCGATTTGTGTTTACAGCTAAACTTGATTTCTTTTTGCTACTTTATTTCATAAATAGTATGAATAATTGAAATGGGTATGAAATACACCGATTTAATTCAATGGTACAACATCTAATATAGAATATTGTTAATAACAATAGAACTTAATAGTGAATTTATTTAATTATTTATTTCAAGTATGCTGTTAAATTAGATTCTTTCAAATTAACTGACAAAATGACATATTTTAAAATATTATCATTCATCTAAAACTATTTTATTGAAGTAATAACAATTTTTATTTATTCACAAAGTAATAGTTTACATTTAAAAATCTAGTTACAATTAACAAAATGAATCTAACTTATTTTATTAGGCTTATTAATAAAAGCACTATTAACTACATCATTCATTATTATTACATAAATTTCTCGTTTAAGAAAACAGTCAATTTTGTAACTTACCGTAATTTTATACAAACAAAATTTTTTAAGAGTTACTTACAACCTCTACATTTCTTACATTAAATTTTTTACTAAGTGGCGGAAAGAATTTTCTTACAAGCCACGTGACTATGACTTCGCTTCACCGTCACGTGTGTTTTGACAGATTATCATGGGCAGGTCCGCGGCCGTCGGCTGTGTGCCGACGGTAGAGCGAAGTCGCGTCGCTCGGCAAAACAGCTGATCCTGCCATTAGACTGACGCGTTCACACAAATTAACAGACGCCAATTAGGCGAACACTCGAACAAACACGCAAGATGACACGGGAAAAACGGGAAGCCATCAAAGGCAGCGTCGCACGCAGAACCGGCGTCGAAAAAGGCTGTAGCATCCCACGGCAGCCATGTTGTGGAAAGCCCGCCCGAAATGGCGCGGAGCGTACCATTGGTTGCGCGCCAAACTATGGGCGGAGCTCCCCTCGGCCGAATGTTGCCAGCTTTTTGAATAAATAATTTCAGTAATTTAAGTAATGAAGGCAATTATGGCGTTGTTTAGCTAAGTTTGCGAGGCAGCGAGTGGGAACTTTATATTTATGCCGCTCTCTTTATGTACGCCGGCGTCGGTTAATGCGCCCGATCTGTTTACGTTGCGAGCGCTCGTATTCCTCCGCTTTATTTATTGCGGGACGACACCGTTGCATGCCGCATTTAAACTGCAATTATTTGTACGCCACGAGAGAAACTTATTGCGGTATTTGAATAAACTGCGGACACGAAATTAAGCTTAATTCTTCAGTAAGTTTAAGTTTAGTATCCAGGAAATCTGTCTATTTATATTATATATCTAGGCTGTGGTGTTGACCACAGCCTAGGGTTGTTTTCAAAGTTAATTAGTTGATAACTTATTTAGGAGTTTATTTTTTATTTTTAAGAGAATTAGAAATTAACACTGTGCGATAGGATTGCATCACTCGTTATGAGTGCATGTCCGCGGCGCGTAAAAGTAAACAGTGACGTCACGAGGCGTCACGACGGCCCGATAAAAAGTCGATTTTATCCGCACAAGTTCGGCCAGCTGACTGCGTGCCCCCACCGCGGAGTTTTCAGCGCCGCGAGATTTCAGCCGGAGCGAGACGGGCAGATATCGTTGCCGTGGGCGGGAGAGGGACGTCGCTAGAGGGCGAGCGGCTTCGCTGTGGGCGGGCTCCCCCAGATGATGTATAGAGTGGTGGAGTTAGGTTCAAATTGCGCCGGGAAGTGGCCGAGATTAGAGCCGACGCGGGTCGTGCCGCGCCGCGAACGTAAGCCCACTTAAGACTGTTTTTAATACTAGTATTTTTTACGCGATCCCGCCCGGATTTAGCGGATGAGCGGCGTCGACGATCGCGCTTTGATTTATCGGTCGACGGTTCGATTCCCCGCGCTCTCGCCGTCCGCCTGTGTTTACGTTTGTGGGTGACGCTGCCGCGGGTGTGCCCGATTGTCCCGCGGCCCGTGAGAGATTATCCAGGATACCAAAGGATTTCCTGGACGCGCGCCGGGAGCCTTCGTGAAGCAATCGTACCTCGCCAGAAGCCGAAAATTACCATTGAAGTGAGTATCTCGAAAAAATCAGCCCAAAGAGGATGTTTCTACAATTTCCTGAGCAACGTTTACGTCTTCGTTAATGCCGTTATCAAGTATCTGCCGTAGTACACGTGTTACAATTTTTATTCTAGATCTTAAAAAAATATATAACAATACACAGCATAGTTAATCTATTTATTTATTTCGAGTTAATAGAGTAATAAAATCTTATGTTTTCCTATGTAGAGCAATGAGTCAGTGTAGCTGTTAGAGTTATTAAAGAACTTTTCAGTATTATGTCTTATGCGTCAATGGCTATAATTATTTAAAAACATAAGCAAAGTAGTTGAATATACTGCAACAACTTTAATTTTTACAAAAAGTGTGCCTAATATATAAAAATAAAACATATAAAAACAGAGAACATAAAATCATGCTCTAAGATTGTCACTAATAAGAATTAAACCCATGTTTATTTGTATATTAATGAATTACTTTAAATGCCTTAATACAAAATGAAAATACAGTAGGTACCTAGTAGATATTTTTAGAACAGATAATTCCACAAATATGGCGTTCCGTCGGCGGGCCCAAAAAATATTTATTCCAATCTTATAACATAAATTCACAATTTGTAATCTTACAATTAATGTTTGACGTTCTCACACTGTTGCTCTTAAAAAAATAAAATAAAACTTTTGTAAATTTCGTATTACATAATTTATTTCTATTTTTAATTACATGGTTAATCTTTTTCATTTCACTGAGTAAACGAAAAAAAAAGTAATATAAATAAATTCTTAAATTGGGTATTATATTGTACTTTTTTTTTTCAATTGTAAATGAGAATATGGCATGCATATTATTTTAATGGTTCATATTTTCATTTATTTTTCTGCAAGGTTTTATTTTTTAAACAAAGATCCTATTTACATATTTGTTAATTTAAAAGTCTGACGAAGATTTTTTTTAGCGTACTAAATAAAAATCTTCGTTACTATCTTGAAGTAGTAAAATAGGTGAAAACAGAATAATTTTGGTAACTGATAACGTGCAAAATGCAAGCAATTATGCAATCACTTCCTTACCTATTTAATCCGGATCTGCATAATAGTAGATAAACTGCAATACAATAATTAAAACAACGTACTCGTATCCACGAACCAGACAAGTTTTCAGTGAAATAAAACAAGGAGGTTTTACCTGGTTTTAAACGTTTATTCAATTCTAAAATCTATTCAATTTTAAACGTCGAATTACGCCTAAAGAACAATCTTTAGGCTTAATTCGACGTTTAAAATTTTAAGGAATAGAGAAGTTATGAACGATGGTGATGATATATAGAGTTGTTTGATGAAAGTCACAGCTGGTATGGAAAAGGAAAATTTTTGTACACTTGCATTTTGCCAATCAAAGCGGTTGGCAATGGAGCTATTGCAATTGGTGTCTTTTTAATCACTTTAATTTTTGGCACCTTTGCCCGTAAAAACTGGCAAATTCATTTACCGAGTAGTCACGCTGATTTCCAGGCTAACTAAAAATAATTACCTCCATGAATTAATATTGAGCCGTGATAGCATTATCCGGACGCTAGTTCGTTCAATTCAGTATAGTCGAACAATCCCAGTTAAAATCCTGGTGCGGACGTCAATAAAATTGTTAATCAATCAATTAAGTTGTGAAGTAACATCATGAAGAAACCTGAATATTTTCGGTGAAATAATAAAAATTAATATTTCAATAAATACGGGAAGTTTTCGACCGGTTTTCGGGTTTTCTTTCACAAGTATTTTCCCATGAGTAGGGCACTTACAAGCTGTTACTTTACTATTAATATACTGTTATGTCACCTGTTACATATCTATAACCCATTACATATTATATTTCTTGTTAATTTTAAAATTTCCTTATTACAAATAGTTTTTAAGTAATCAGTTTGCAGCGTGAGTGTTGCAGACACGATTACATTACGTAAGCATTATGATTGTTTCTTTTGAATTCGTTTACATGAATGTACGTCTAAATCAGACAGCATAATAAATTATATTTGATAAACATATTCTATGAGGAAATGAATAAAGAAGAGGATATGATAATAGAAATGTTTTTTATGTAAAGCGGTTTCCGTTAACTATTATGTAGCTTTTTCCTTGATTCAATTGTATCAAGCCTTCTTAACGTTGCCTCCCTGATGTTTTAAAAAAATACATCTAACTAACCTAACCAATCCGTTGGAAGTAAAGAAATCACTTGCATCTCAATATCGGGCATGTACATAAAGCAATTAAAAACATTATGACTAACTCACTTATTTAATTTAAACAATTTTTCCTCCTTTAAATAACAATAGATTGAATGACCCGATAAGACGTTCAGAAACTATTTACATATTTTATTTGAAGATAACTTTGTATCGATATGAATACGAAAGAACGTGAAGATCAAGTTAAGCAATATCTGAAGTACGTACATCTTGATTCGAGGCGATTATTTCGGATAAAAATAGAGGTTGTTTAAATCCAACACCGCGAATTATTGATAAAACGAATGAACGATGATGGCTTGGATGAAGGTAACTTGATTAATTTCGATTTTTTAAGATTGTTAACTCATTAATACAATAGGTATATATGTGGATATTATGCAAGATTTTCTTATATTTAATTACAACATTTAAAATGCTCACAATTAACTTAGATAACGGGTTTTAATTACTAAAAAAATCTTAAATTAATAATATAAATAATATATTTGATATATTTGAGCATCGTCTCTACCTTTGTATCCATAAGCAAATATAAATGCAATAAATTATTGTAAATTAAATGCAACTACATATACTATTTGAGGTATTTAATACCTATAATTTAATTTGATCAAACAATGACTGTTCTAGCTGTAAGTTTTCCAAAAATATCTAAAATAAAATAAAATATACGAGTTTTCGAAAGAACTAAAACGTTGTTACGATAATACAGAACTGTGTGAGTTACGTTTCCGCATATCAGTATCGGACCATTGACAATGCTAAATGATGTTATCGGCCGATACACGACGAGATAGAGTCAAATATTTACATGTCACTAGATGTCAAATCCAAACGCTTGTAACTTCGTGTCGCTCTGTTAGTTTTCATGTAATGTCGTTATGATTTGTATTTTGAGTGATGTTCCTGCGATAAACTCAGTTAGATCGTGTTGTTTCCTTTTTCTTTTTCTGTCCGCTCCGATGATGGACTATGCGATATTTGGTGCCGCACCCAATGTTAGGTCAAGTTTATTTTTACTCGATAACTCAAGTGTTGTTCGATGTACCAGAGGTAATTTTTGGTCTTGTGTTTATTATAATCGCTATGTGAACAGAGTGAATGGTGACAAATAGTTAGCTGGTGACGCAGTAGCTTTTGCTATAGCATTATCCATAGATGGGCAGGCTTGTTCGAAAAGGTGCCACGGCCTCACGGAAATTGGCGTATGTGGCAGTATTGGAATTTCAAATTTAATCAGCGAGTGAGGTTACAATGGCCCATATTCTTAAAGGTTAGAAACGCATCTGTTATATCATATTTGCTATAGATGTCTATTAGCAACAACAAACATGGATTATGATTGCTATAAGAACAGAGGTGTGAAGAGTAATATTATAGAAAGAATAAATTTAACCAAAGAGAAATAAATATGTTCTAAGGCTTCGGTTCATAAGGCTCGGCAACACGTAAACTGAGCGATATTGAAATGAATCCTCCTCTCGACCGATTTTCAGCCGCCGTTAGAAGCCGATTGCGTTTTAATAGAGCGGAGGCACTTTCGCCAACTTAAATCTTGCAGCTTAAAAAAGGCTTTGCATCGGTTTAAAGGGATCACGGCGGATCAGCCGAGCCGATTGCTGCCTCCGGCTTCGCCCAATTACTCAACTCAGTAGAGCTCCTTTCCTGGCAACTAGGGTATGTTGCCGCTGGTCAGGATTGCTGCGTTGATGGACCATTTACTTAATAAAAAAAGTTTTTTTGGTTTTTAATTAACCACAAAGTTTTAAATAATGAAGTTATTCATTATAAATTAGATCATTATAAATAACTAAAAACAACCATTTCTTTCAATAAACAATTCCAAAATCCATATTATTAATAATAAAAAATAATGTGTTAGTTTTTATTAATTATAAAGTAACAGCCTATATACGTCCCACTGCTGGACAAATGCCTCCTCTGTACAGTCTGTATTAGGGTATAGCTCCCAACGCGGGTCGCGTATTGGCGAACTTCAAATATGTTCGAAATATATTTTTTTTGTTACTATTTCTTAAATATGCTCGTTTTCTCACGATGTTTTCCTTCACCTTTGAGCAGTCAGTATTTAAAATTAATTTCATTGGTGCAGGCACCGGGGATCGAACTCAGGTTGCTCCAGTATATTGAATTAAAGGCGAGCGCCCGGAAAATAAACTATCAATAGAAAGAAGATTCAAAACGATTGGGATCGAAAAGACTTTTTTGAAAATGACATCCTGTACATTTTTTCTTTGTAAATAGAGTAATGATGTACGCAATAAACTCTGATAAGTTATGAGGTATTTTATCACATTGTAAATAAATTTCTAGCTATTTAAAATACGGTTAAAAATTTCTCGTAAGTTTAAAAAAAATATAGCTTATTAACCTTCGTAAACTGTAAAACAGTCAATCAAAATCTTCCTTTCAGCGCTATAACAAACCCGTTCCAGTATTTATAAGCTTGATTTAGAGTGTGCACATACCAATGTGTACACGTTTTATACAAAAAAACAAACGAGCCATAAAGTGTGCCTTGATCGAGATATACAGTGTAACACCGGTCATAATTCAAATTTCCGTGACAGAGCGCCTAGGTGTTACGTCGTCATAAAACTCGGGGGAGCGACGCCGCGGAAGGAAAAAGACACACGTTTAGTGATTTACGGCTTTAATTGCCCTTTTTTACGTACGGCCACGTTTCGGCGGGAATTCAATGTACCGTTAAAAAGAGCAAAGTGCGAATGTGGACGCTCGACCTGACCGGGGCGGGATGCGTTTTTTTCCTTTATGGCCATTCCTACTGTACCGCGGCAAGATCGGAAATAGAAGAATATATACGTAGACCTTTATGGCTTTTTTTATCTGTGTAATAACGGAGATATCTAAATGATTGCTTTCAAGATGAATAATATATATCATACTATATTTATTTTTTCTGGATTCTTTTAATTTCGCCCAGAATAACAAACTACAAAGCAACAGAAATTTTCATTCCTTTTATATGTGAAAGAATTTCTTTTGACCGCATGATCCACGCGATTAAGTAAAGGAAAGTTTCTAACATTTACTCACGCTCGCAGGTTTCATCATGCTTACTAGTTATTCATTATGACTTTGTTTTTGGCTCTGTCATACAAAGAGAAATAACAAACTTTAGATGTCCTTCCCAAATTATTATAGCTCTGCTTTTATATCGAAACACCAACGGTTTGCACGTTGTTCGCAGATAGGCCCGCGATGCGCTGAAGCACCGACGGTGCTAAGCGTTCGCCTTGCGGCAAATTCTCAGCGCGTCCAAAGAAGGCTTCACCATTCACCTCCGCGTGTACAAGGAGGCCCTGGCGGCCGGCATGGAGCCGCTGAGCGAGAACGGCCTGTGCCTGTCCGAGCTGGAGCTGCACGGGGGCCACCTCCATGAGTCGGTGGCGGCGTCCGTCGGCTCCGCCATCTCCAGCTTAATGGCGCCCCTGCACCAACGAGCCCCAGCACGCGCCCCTCCACCACGCCCCGCCACTCCACCACGAGCCGCTGGAGAAGCTCAAGTGTAAGTGCCTCTCACTCATAAAAGCAAGTTGTCACTGGAAACTCAAATGTAAGAGCCTCTCACTCAAAAGCAATTTGTCACTGGTTTCTCTAGCCGATGATAAACATTACAGCCTGCTTTACACTCACGGTTAAGATGAATCTAACAAATGTAAGTGCCTCTCACTCAAAAGCATCTCAAAAGCAAGTTGTCACTGGTTTCTCCGGCCGATGATAAACATTACAGTCTGCTCACACTCATTGCTGAGATGAACATAACGGCACAAATTTATCACATATTAAACATTCACGAGATAGTACCGAAGAAATAGTTTTAGAGACATTCAGCAAATGGAAATTTATGTCTTAACGTCACGGTTGTCAGGGAAAACTTAGTTTTAGAAAACTGTGTTCTTAGTACTAAGAATTGTATTTGTTTCTTTTGCTGTAAAGGTTAGTTCCCCGCGGTACGAAGTTTTATAAAAGATTGTACTACATTGGCGAGAGGAGGGCTGGTTCTTTCTCGTTCAATTGTTACGTAGTAGAAGAAAGCATTAATGGCGCTATGTCGCACAAAGTTCTTATGTGACCAGTGGAATATATTTCAGACCAGCTGCTATTCAATAGTACCTCTAACTAATCCGTTGTTGGACTTCTTAATTTGTTGTTGATATTGTGGTTATTTAAAAAAAAATTAAAATATTGTTGCTTTTTATAAGTATAAACAATAATTATCTACGAGTTTTCGGCGGTGCACTTGCAAAAATCCAAAAATTGCACAGTCATTGATTAATCTTGACTGCCTTGCATTTTATATGTTACTTTAAAACTTAAAACTTTGTAAATTTAAAACGTTTGGCAAACTTCAAGAAAAAATCAGCCGCGTGGTCACATAAAATATAGTGCTCGAGGCGTTCCCAATCTATTTGCCGCGTTATCTTCACGAATACCGATGAGAAGCTCTTTTATATTGGCAAATAAATCCCGTTTTAAACTCGACCGGGATAGTAAATAAAATGGAAGGGACCTTTCGTTGTCTCACTCCGCTGTCTCCGCGTCCCCGTATACGACATAGTCATTACGGTGCCCGTTTTGTTTTTATTAAGATATGTTGCTTCACAGAGACGGGATACCGTAAAGCCCCGCGGGCGGAATGACGCCTTTTGCATCGTATTAGAAAGTAGTTTCATTTTAACGCCCTCCAACGCGTTGACGTTCGGCTTATCGGATTTTGTGACAGTGTTAAAATTTAACGACGTAAAATGCAACAACCTAATGCAGCCCAATGTTTGCCCCGTTGTGGATTCTTCCGTGATTTTAAAACTAGCTGCTGCCCGCGACTACGTCTGTGTAGTATAGGCTGAAGACGTAACATTCAGACAGAAAGACGATAAGAAGATAAAATATGTAAATAAATTATAGCTATATTTTATTTTGATGTATAAAGCTATATTATTGTAAAGTTTCGTTAAAATCCATTCAGTAGTGCAAATTTGCGTGAAAGAATAACAAACATGCATCCATACATACAAACTTTCGCGTTTACAATATTAAGTAAGGATTAAGAGTATCTATACAATCTATACAGATAAATAAAATTGTAGTTTCTGTGTCTGTTCTATGTCTGTAATATTAAAATAACCGCTTTTTACTAAATACATATGGATGTTTACACGGTACATATATATGAAAATAACTTTTTTTTTAATTTTGTCTGTCTGTTTGTTTGTTCCGGCTAATCTCTGAAACGACTGGACCGATTTGGACGGGACTTTCACTGGCAGATAGCTGTTGTAAAAAGGAGTAACTTAGGCTACTTTAATTGGTAAAATTTATTTATTTTAAATTCCACGCGGACGAAGTCGCGGGCACAGATAGTAGATAAAAGGGCGGAATATTTGTGCATATTCATACATAACGAACATACAGTTATCGATTTCAGTGGCAAATGAGTTTAAAAATGCTGAAGAATTTTTATTATTTAATATTCACGATGCAATGAATAAACAGAATTACTGGTAATTGCCTATGTATGAGAAAGTAACACTGCCCGCAACTGCGTATTGTTTTTGTTGGCTTCACATATCGTGGTAATATTTTTTATTATATGCTCTAAATATAAACGTCCGACTGTTTTCTTCACCGGCGAGCAAATGGTGAATCGGCACTCGAAGTAGAAATAATCTCGAATACACCACAATCTTTAAATTTCAGGCTGTATATGCAAAAGATATAATAAAAATGTTTAAGACCATTGAACTTAAGAAAACGGCAGATCTATGGGGAATGTCCGTTGAAGTGACTGCCTCAATAATAGATTCAATCGCACCTTATTTGTCAATAATTTTTAACAGTAGTGTAGATTCTGGCGTATTCCCTGATCTCATGAAACACAGTAAAGTCATACCTGTATTTAAATCCGGTAGCACTTCGGACCCCACTAATTTTAGACCCATTTCTATACTACCAACACTTAGTAAAATTTTCGAAAAACTTCTTCTCGATCAGCTGTTAACACATTTTAACTTAAATAAATTATTACATCACAACCAGTTTGGTTTTACAAGGGGTCGTTCTACAACCGATGCTGGTGTAGAGCTGATCAAACATATATTTGAGGCTTGGGAGAGTTCACAGGATGCTCTGGGTGTCTTTTGTGATCTTTCCAAGGCTTTCGATTGCGTGAATCATGAAACACTGATCAGGAAATTGCGCCATTATGGCATTAAAAGTACCGCGCTTGACCTCATTAAGTCATATCTATCTAATAGAATTCAAAAAGTTGTAATTAATGGTGCTAGTTCTTCTGGGTCGACGGTATCTATGGGCGTTCCGCAGGGCTCGATTCTCGGCCCATTTCTCTTTCTCATTTACATTAATGGTCTTCCTTACTTTGTAGGGAGTAAACACGATATAGTTTTATTTGCCGATGATACATCATTAATTTTTAAAATCAATCGACAACTTGTTACACTTGACGAGGTAAATAATGCTATGTCAGAAATAGTCTATTGGTTTAATACTAACAATTAACTATTAAATGGTAATAAAACTAAATGTATGAAATTTTCAACACCTAATGTTAAACATTTGGGTGCTACCAATGTACTTATAAATGGGGGGGAGTTAGGCCTTGTGGATACGACTGTCTTTCTTGGAATAACTCTCGATGCAAAGCTTCAATGGGGTCCCCATATATCCAAACTTGCGAATAGACTAAGTTCTGCAGCGTATGCTATAAGGAAAATAATATGTCTAACTGATGTAAAAACGGCTAGAATTGTGTATTTTAGTTACTTCCATAGCATAATGTCATATGGTATTTTGCTATGGGGGCACGCGGCCGATATAGAAACAATTTTTATTTTGCAAAAAAGGGCCATAAGAGCTATTTATAATCTAGATCTGAATGCATCTTTGAGAGACTAGACTCCATAGAGTAAGTAACTCGTTCATGGGGCGGTGTATACGCTTTTACAACAAATTCCCAGTAAATGCGCAAAACCTGCCTATTAACAGGTTTAAGAAATTTATTAAAGAAAAACTTTATAAAAAGGGTTATTATAATACAAATGAATACATTAATGACAATAACCCCTGGGAATGAGTTGATCGCTCCCAAGCTATTTCTAAAAGGAAAAAAATCAGTTGTATAATTTTTGAATTTTTTGTTAAGAAAAAAAAAATAATTACAAAAAAGAGGATACCTACGGAGTTTCTTTCGCCTGTTTCTTCTCCGCTAGAGGAACCTCATTACGAAACGGTGGTAGATTTAAAAAAAATATGACTATTGATAAATGAAATGTAAGTTTCTTATGTCGATGAATAAATGATTTTGATTTTGAATTATTTAGCGGACATAACTTATTATTGACTTATTCCTTCGCTAAAGATGCAAAACACTCATAGCACGTGCTCAAAATCATCCCCAATCTGTGACGTAACTGCTGCGCTCCTCTGAATAAAAATGGAGCACACGTCACGGGCAATCGCTATGAGGACCGTGACGGGATGTGGGTTGTTCGATATCATTGCTGTGTATACAAAATTAGTGCACATTCACCCCCCACATGCCCCGTGATACGCAATTATGTCATCATTGATGCAACTTGTCATTGAAATCGCCGTTAAGTTTTTCAATCGACACCTGTGTTTAATGGCTGCTAAAAGAATCGATGGGTTTTTTGTATTTAGAACGCGAATTAATGTTCTTTTTTAGTCTGTTAATACAGAACTGCCGCCATGATTTTTTTTATATTTAGACATATTTCAGCAATGGACTAGATAGAACAGGCTGAAATGATAATGATGGTATTACTTAAAAGAATTGTTACTTGATCCGGTCAAACTGAATAAACATTTCGAGGTTTCAAACACTCAACAGCTTTAAGGGACTACGGTTACTGGACGTTCGAAAAAATATAAGCAAAATAAAAAAATATTTTGAAGTTACATTTATATAAAAAGAAGTTACATCTTACATAGTTCCAAGTTATTTATTTAAACCGTTTACAATTGCATGTCTTTGCACAAACACAGAGTACTGGCACAGACATAGAACAAACTTTCCACAAATATAGAAGCATAACTTTTTACGTGCGTACATAAGTACACAGACGTTTTTGTTAGGGTTCCGTACCCAAAGGGTAAAACGGGACCTTATTACTAAGACTTCGTTGTCTGTCCGTCTGTCACCAGATGTATCTCATGAACCGTGATAGTTAACAGTTGAAATTTTCACAGATGATATATTTCTTTGCCACTATAACAACAAATACTAAGAAACAGAAGAAAACATATTTAAATGTGGCTCACATACAACAGACATGATTTTTATGTCATTTTTATAGTTAATGGTACGGAATCGCACTTGTTCGGCTTTTTTATGTAAGATGATGCAGCTGTTAAGCCAGAGGTTTAGTTCATTTACCATGATGATAGACGTTTTCCAACATATAAAGATATTAGAAACATCGAGGAGTTAACAAATGCAGTCTCGTTATCTATTAACCGTAAGTTGCTA